TTTTTTTCTTTTTTTTTTTTCTTTTTTGTTTAATTTTTCGGAGCGTCATTCAGTGGCTGGATGGCGTGGGACAGGTGTAACCAGGACTCGGTGTGGAGAGAATTAGAGGTGAGCGCATCAAATAAAATCCGGCTTCTTTCATCTCTCTAGCCCTCTGGACTTTTTTTTTCTCCCCTCTGGAACGATGGACAACACTGGCACGATGATCTCCACATAAGTCTGCACTCTCTCACTCTCTCCCCCCCTCTCTCTCTCCTCCTCCTCTTCCTCCTCCTCTGTTGCCGGTGCTGTTCGTGGCTTAGTGCGCGTCTGGACACGGTTGAGGATGCGAGGGATATACGACACGGGAATATATGACAAGTGGAGGGAATGTGCGGAATCTCCCTTTTCAGCCCAGTTAAAGATGTAGTTGTTGTAACGCGTGCACGGGCTCGGGACCATTGCTCTCCACGTAGGATCCCTGTTTAGTCGGAGCAAGTGCTTGCAAGCTGGCGGATATCTTTCCAACCGCGGACTGTACGCGCTCCGGTGCCGAGAAGGTTTTCGTGCCGAAATGACTGAAATGTCTCAAAGTCAGGTATTTCGCTGACGCATGAAATCCAAAGACGAAAAATAATCCCTTTGATGTGCTGTGTCCAGATAGCCAGGTGATTTTTTTTTCAAAGGCAAGTGCAAAGGTTGTCCACACTGACGCACCGGGTATCTGGCATTGCGCAGGAGCATGTTAATATTAACGGTACCGGTACCACGTCTGTGTGCCAACATTCCTGCCGGAGGAATGTTGCCCTGGCTGGACGGCAACATCGCGTCCAGCTAGAGTAGATCATTCCGTGTTTCTTGCGAATTTATTTACAACATTCTGCTGATTTTAAACGCTTCATCCAAGTCATTAGCTCACTATCGCTCCTGTCTTTTTGTATGCAGCTTACTTTACCTGGTTAAAGCGCATGCAGACAATAACGCACATCAAAAGGATACTTATTCGTCCCCCCCTTTTTTACCCCTTAATCTTCCGAGTCCACCCAGCTTGTTATACAGAGGTACTTGTCTGCGTTCATTATCTCAGTGATGCCTCAGAGAGGGTTTTTCACAGTAACTACATGACTGCAATCCGGCTGCACGGCTGCGATTTTGTGGTCTGCGTGATCAGATTATGAGAAAGAAATCAGCTCTTATCTAATTAAAATGCGGCTCTGTGTGTACGTGTGTGTGTATATCTGTATATAGACGTGTGTGTGTGTTTTGCAGACCGATTTCGAGATTGTATGTTATTCGGACACCCTCCTTTGCACTTACTTCCAGGTACGCTCCAGGAGAGCATCGTTTTTTTCTTTTCTTTTCTTTTTTTTTAGACTGCGATTTTAGTTTCCACTCTCAACCCTACCAATGTGCGCGTCCTCCTTCAGCCGATCGATGCTGTTAAAAAATGTATGCACGTATTAAAGCCCTGCTATTTAACTGTCAATCAGCGCCGCGCTCCTTACTTTAATAATCTCTCTAGCAGGTGCTTTTATGCGCGGTGCGTGCGTAAATCACCGGAGCGCTGTGGTGCACCCTGACTGTCTGTCTGGCGGCGCTATTTCATTAGTTCGCTAAGAAATCCATAAGATAATTGAGCACAGGGACGTCCATCCTCTGAATATCCTAACGGCTTTATTGCCATTTCTTCATTCCGTGTCTTGTCTGACTGGATCATCTGGGGGTGGGGGGAAACCTAAGACGCAGTGAATCTGTCCTCCTCTTCGCAGTCGCAACATAACGGATTTGTCTCATCACGGTCTTAAGTCATCGTGTATTCGTGTTGGTGCGTTTCCGAGGACAGATGAACTGTGACACCGGTGTCTGGGCGGTTTTTCCTTCTTGGCACAGCATCCGTCTCTCAGCTTTGCCCTGAGCCGAACCCGACTCTCACCCCTCCTCAGGCTCCGGGCCAAACACATCCGGGCTTCTTATGTCGTTCTTAAGGCCGGCGTTAATGCATAAACAGATGCGTTGTCAAGGAGTGTGTGTAGACTACAGTGTGAAGCTGTTTTCACAGGCTGGGTTCAGCATTTGCATAGTCAGAAGTGTAAACATGCAAACATCCCCCGCTCTGGGGGATTTTATTTTTTTAATTTTTATTTTTCCTTTTTAATGACCACTGATTCTCTGGTTCATAGTTTGCCCCAGAAGAAGCAGACTTTTGCTTGTTCAGCTGCTGGTTCAGGGGGGAAACAAACTCACACACCCCCACATCTGATGATTTGTGTGTGGCGGAAGCTGTAACATCTTCTGCATACAGGACACACTGGATAGATTACATAAAAGTGGCTGGTGAATAACAAAATGTCAACAGGCAGCATTTAGTAGCGGGGAGGCCGTTTCCAGTGGCAGTGTAAGCAGCACACTGGGAGGCTGAAGAGAAGCTGAGTGGAAACAGGTTGCGGGGCTTGCACGTTGTTGTGCAAAAACAAGCCCATTGAAAAAGCTGTTCTTATCGATGGAGCGACAGTGACAGAAGTCATGAATTCCAGCTACTTAGTGTGTCACATGAAAGTGGCAGATCAGCAGAGGCATCCAGAATGATCAAATGAGGGAATTAGAACGTGAATTGTCACTAAGACGAGAAGCTCGGGCTCATAATACAAATGTATGAGTTCCCCTTGTCATGCCCAGATTACCAGTCCCTCTATTCTTTTGAGGGATGGCTCAGATAATTCATTTTCTGATTTGCACATGAAAGATCTGTCATTTCTGTCTAACCATCCATGATGTTTTTCTTTTTTTAATCTTTTCTCCAGTGTGCTGCCTTGGTTGGTGAAGACCAGCCCCTCTGCCCAGACTTACCTGAACTTGACCTCTCAGAGCTGGATGTCAGTGACTTAGACGCAGACAGTTTCCTGGGCGGCCTCAAATGGTACAGTGACCAATCAGAGATCATTTCTGCTCAGTATGGGAACGAAGCGTCCAATCTTTTTGAGGTAAGTACATAAATATCACAAATCCAACTATTAACGGCCTTCATTAATGTCTTTCTCATTGTACGTGAATTATTCATAACACGGCTAGCAAAATGCCGTGGGACATTTTGCATCCATGGTCATTTCATTATTTGCTCTCCGAGGGGTCAGCACTGAGCTGGGATAAAAACACGGCAAGGCTATCGCATTCTTGAATGCAAGCCAAACACAATGCACAACTGTTGCCAGTTTACAAATACGCTTTTTGCAGGAGGAGTCGGCGTGAGGACCGATAAGCCTGAAAGGACTTTTGTCCCCTTTTTTGGACCCTGGCCGTGACGGGAGACAGCCTTATCAAAACCTGGAGCATTTATTTCAGTTCAGAGTTGGTAATGCGGCACACATCTGAAAGAATGCGTTCGTAGTAGATTTATAGTCGGGGCTGCTGTGTTGCAAAATGCTTCTCAAAGGTTGGAGTGTAAAACTTTAATCTTTGCCCCGCTTCACTTCTCTCCCCCTCTCCTTCTCTCTCTCTCTGCACTTCTGTCCTATTCTTTCCATTGGACTCTCTTTCTTTTCTCACCCGGCGACAGACGTCAGCGGGTGATGATCTGGCCGAGGCCATAAAGCCATTGGTCTTGGGACTGAGTTCCAGTCCCCAGTTCATTATAAGCCTTTATCAGTGCCAGAGATAGACAAGAAAGACTGAGATTGGATGCTTTAGCCTCGCCTCAGGAGGAAAAACCCCATCTGAGAAGGCAGTGCATGTGTGTACCTGTAGCGCAGTCCTGTAGTCACACTCCCCGGGTCTCTGTTGTGTGTTTTGTGCGGCTGTGCGTGTCCTCAGTGGTCTTGCAGGCAACAGTTGATAACAGACTAAATTCTTTCCACCACTACTACCACCACCACCTTTATATCACCAGACATTCTACCACCGTGGACCACCCCAACACACACGCACACACACGCACACACACACACACACACACACACACACAAAGGGGGGTGGTGGGGTCTTAAGTACTAGCTGGTGTGACTGTGGCTCCTCTGTCGTCTGAGAGTGATATGGCTTGCAGCCACCGAGTGGCTCAGGGGATGGATAAAAATACCAATGAGAGTGTATATGTGTGCGTGTGTGTGTCGTTTTTAAAACACAATGGAACTTAGCACCCACTGAGGACCCCAATGAGGGAACTAGCTCCGAGCGAGAAGCTGTGACTGACTTCCACTGTGAGCCTGAGCTTGTATTTGCGTGCCTGCAAGTGCACATGCTCCCGCACACCCACGGCACGTGTCCGACAGCGCGTGAACGCCGTACGTCGCAGTAAGCGGGTGATGTTTTCATGCGCTCATCAAGCCAGCAGCTATTGTTTTATGCCAAGAATATGGAAGGGCTTCCAATTAAGCAGTGAAAACTGGGGTTTCAAAGCAAGTAATACATTTCCCTGACCAGGGATTTTTCCATCTTTGGAAAGTTTCTAGTCACCATATGAAGCACTCAGTTCATCATACTGCAGGACCCAGTTAATCCTACTTAATCTGACAGAGGAAAGTTTGCTGCTCGGCAAGGATCAGAAGGCTGGGGGCTGCAGCTGTACTTCCTGCACCCCACCCCCACCCCCTTGATTGGCTTCAACACAGAACAGAGAAGCATCCAGTGAAAAGTTAAAGATTAGAGAAATTGTTAATAACTGGCTAGATTTCAAGCCTGTAATTGTGTGTGTGTGTGTGTGT